ACCTCAAACGACGATAAAAATTCCTTAAAATGAATTACGTAGATGACMAACAGCGATTGGAGAACAGATATAAAATATTGAACATACAGTGCGAAGCACATCAACACCTATCTATTAAATGTTATTTTTGTTTTTAATCTCTTTATGGTTTGCTATAAGTTGTAATTTTCATTTTCCATAGCTTGGGAAGTTTTATGAAGCAGGCGCTTACTGCCCCTACAGAGAGATCAGCACGGTATACAAAGTCAAATATTTTGCATGGTGCTGCAAGAACAAAGATATATTCTATTCTCGATATCTSTTCAGTCATTTGATAAACCTAGAACCAGAGTGCAAAGATTTGTTCATGGAAATGATTCAATGTGAGAAAAAACAACACCGGATCAACGTTGACATCATAAAAAACCTGTACCGCCTCGTGTGTTCTAAATTTTGCCAACAAGAAAATGACGTTCGTGAGTATATTTTTGTAATATTGTCGATATCATTTCTTAAACCTAAAAATACATAAAACGTTTTATATTCTATTCAAAAAGACAATCAACTATACAATTTTATTGGCTTGATTGACGTAATTTTGAGACTGTCAATATAGATACGTCGTATAGGCCAGTGTTTCTCAACCTTTTTACTGTGGCGACCCCTTTTTTAAATTTAAATTTTTTAGCGACCCCTACATATATATTTTTACATACTCGCTTAGATTATCATTATAAATAMTCTARAGTCTATAGTTACTACAAGTACTGTACACGAGAAATATAAAAGATACATATTATAATATTATATTTATTTAAAATTAAAAAAAACGTACATTAAATATTTCATTTTATTATATAAATATATTTTATTTTTTTATTATTTGAGCTTTTAATTTTCGCATTGATTTAAATCATTCGATTGTGACCCTAAATAATAAGTTGGCGACCCCCAAAGGGGTCGCGACCCCCAGCTTGAGAAACACTGGTATAGGCAACTATACAGTGTAAAGCAGGTGCATCATTTGAAATGTTGTCCAATCAGGGATGATCCAATCAGTAAAAATATTTAAGCTCATAATTAAATTAACCCTCCACAGGTAAGGCTATAAATTCCAACAGACCAGACAAGGGTGGTCACGGGTGACCAATGTAATTTTATATTAGAAATAATCAAACTTTTTTATAAATTCTCTTTATTTTTACTTATCATAATTAATACTAATATGCATACTAAAGTATAATCAATGGTAATATATATTTATAAAA